TCATCATCATCGTCATCGCCATCGTCATCATTATTATTGTTATTAGTATTGATGTTATCATGATTATCATTATCATTATCTTTATTAGTGTTATTATCAGCATCATTACTATCTGTTATATACTATTACTATCATTACTATCATCATTATCATTATTACCATTACTATCATTATTACAACATCATTAGCACTTACTATCATTACCGGTATTGTCAGTGTTATCATCACTATCATTATTGTCATTATCATTAACAGACACAAATATAATCACGATGGAACTGTAAGACTGACACGACGACGAAAAAAAAATCTGGAAATAATATTTTCATTTCAATCACAACATTTCATGAAGTCATTTCAGTTAGATTCTTTGTGATAAAATTCGAATGGAAAATGTACGTGCCATTAGTAAATGAAATGAGAGAGAGAGGGAGACAGAGGGAGAGGGAGGGAGGTAAGGAGGGAGGGAGAGGGAGGGTGGGAAGGAAGGAGAAGGAGGGAGAAGGAGGGAGGGAAGGCAGGAGGGCGGAGGGAAGCAGGGAGAGGGAGGGAGAGAGAGAAGGAGGGAGAGAGAGAAGGAGGGAGAGAGAGAAGGAGGGAAGGAGAGAGAGAGAGAGAGAGAGAGAGAGAGAGAGAGAGAAGAGGAGAGAGAGAGAGAGAGAGAGAGAGAGAGAGAGAGAGAGAGAGAGAGAGAGAGAGAAGGAGGGAGGGAGGGAGAGAGGGGAAGGAGGTAAAGGGAGGGAGGAGAGAGAGAGAGAGAGAGAGAGAGAGAGAGAGAGAGAGAGAGAGAGAGAGAGAGAGAGAGAGAGAGAGAGAGAGAGAGAGAGAGAGAGGAGAGAAAAAAGAAAGAAAGAAAGAAGAAAGAGAGAGAGAGAGAGAGAGAGAGAGAGAGAGAGAGAGAGAGAGAGAGAGAGAGAGAGAGAGAGAAGCGGAAAAAAAACAGCAAAGATAAAGAAAAAGGGTATATAAAATAAATAAAATATAATGATATGATAATAACAACAGCAATAATAATATAACAATAACAATAATAAATCAATTATGAGTGATAATAGTACATGACATTCACCCATCGTCCAAGAAATACATGAAGATAATACCGAGACATGGCAACACACCATTATCACTGTATCCTTAGTACAGAGATAAGACGCATCCGCTATCTCCACTTACCTACACAACTCAGCATGTGTTCTTTACACTACCTGTATCATGAGTCTTGATGTGTGTGTCCATGAAGGCGATTTTAGTCCCAGTTTGAAATTTGTTTGTGTGTGTGTGTTTATTGTAAATATACTATAGTGTTTTGTGCTTATTCTACGTCAATACGGTGAGTTTTTTTTTTTTTTTAAGAAATGATGTGATATACTTAAGGCAAGGTGTTATGAAAAGGATATTGCATGGGCTAGTATTGATGGTTGAAATATAGATATATTTAGTTATATTAGATGATTTGTCTTGTAGCTACGTTTCTGAACAAGAGATATATATGTATATGTATATTTTGTTATATTTAATGAAAGATTTCGTATGCCAGCAAACGTCTCAACGAACAAAGAAATAGTACATACACTCTGTTTTTGTTTTTGTAAGGGGAGAGTACAGTAGAAACGTATACAGCACAATAACCAACATACTGCAAATGATCCCGGTAGTTAAATCTGTTTACCGGAATATAATAGCGGAATCATATACCTATAAACTACCATATAAATGATAAAGTCCAGTATTAACAGCTATTTCGCACAAAGAAAACGGACCGGGTTCATGACAGTCACAAAAAACGCATACGAGTAACTCATGATACCTATTCCATAAGGGCGAATGGTCAGGGAACAATGTCGTAAAAATGACCTTTATGGTAACGTGGCGATAAGATATGTGGCGTGACGCTTTTCGAGGGAACTAGTCTGTTTGTTTTTCGGGTATTTATTTGCTTTTGTCAATGGATTTTATATCGGTAATGGTCCTGAGTGTTCGAGGTTTTACGGATGCTGTCAGCTATTGTCACTATCATTATTGTCTTTGTAGGTTATTATTGTTCATCGTCATTAGTACCGCTTCTGCTGTTGATGTTATTGTTGCACTGAATCGTGTGTGTGTGCGTTTGTGTATGTGTGAACGAGAGAGAGAGAGAGAGAAGAGAGAGAGAGAGAGAGAGAGAGAGAGAGGAGAGAGAGAGAGAGAGAGAGAGAGAGAGAGAGAGAGAGAGAGAGAGAGAGGAATGAGAGAGAGAACGACAGAGAGAGAGATAGAGAGGAAAAGACAGAGAAAGATAAATAAATAGACAGAAGTCGAAGCATATGTACACGTGCGCATGCGTAGACAGTCAGCCCATCCACTGGTTAATATCAGCAGGCGAAATGCCCCTATCATACAAACACATAATTTGCAGACACTCCTGAACAAAAAAGGATAGTATTAATGCCGTTGTAGACTCTACAGCATCAGCTATACTCAACGATGATTTGCAGTAGTTGGTCAAGCATGAATCAAGGCATTATTGCGAATATGACACACGGGATGGGGAAATATAACGGGCCGTTATATGCATATATGGGCCTTTGTTATACTCCGGGCCCGAGGACAGGACGTAAAGGATTTGTTATTAATGGAGTCGAGTTTATATTCTTTTATGTGTGTAGGTATGTGTGTTTATTTATCTTTCATGGATCTCGTTTATACATGCATATACAATATTTTCCGCTCTCCTATTATCCTTTCTCTCTCACACTCGCTTATTTTCTCTCTCTCTCTCTCTCTCTCTCTCTCTTCTCTTCTCTCTCTCTTCTCTCTCTCTCTCTCTCTCTCTCTCTCTCTCTCTCTCTCTCTCTCTCTTACTTACTCTCTCTCTTTCTCTCTTCCCTCTTACTTACTCTCTCTCTTTCTCTCTTTCCCTCTTACTTTCTCTCTCTCTCTCCCTCGTACTTACTCCCTCTCTTTCTCTCTTTCCCTCTACTTTCCTCCTTTCTCCTCTTTATCTTTCTCCCTCTTACTTACTCTCTCTCTTTCTCTTTCTCCTCTACTTACTCCTTCTATATTCCTCTTACTCTCTCTCTCTCTTATCTCTCCCTCTACCTTCTCTCTCTTTCTCCTCTCTCTCCTTCTTCTACTCTCTTCTTTCTTTCTCCTCTTACTTACTCCCTCTATCTCTCTCTCTACTTCTCTCTCTCTCTTATCTCTCTCCCTCTTACTTACTCTCTTTCTTCTTTCTCCCTCTCTCTCCCTCTTACTTACTCTCTCTCTTTCTCTCTCTCCCTCTACTTTCTCTCTCTCTCTCTCTCTCTCTCTCTCTCTCTCTCTCTCTCTCTCTCTCTCTCTCTCTCTCTCTCTCTCTCTCTCTCTCTCTCTCTTCTTTCTCTCTCTCCTCACTCCCATCTATCCATACATAATTCATCAACTAACTACATTCACTTCGTTCCAGCCCACAGCCCTCCAGCCCACCCTCCAGCCCAGCCCAGCAGCATGAGCCCCCGAGCCACGCCCACGTGGGTGGGCCTTCCTCACCACCACACCCTCGTCTTCCTGGCCTCCGTCGGCGCCTCCTTCGTGTGGTTCGTCCGTCGGAGCTGTCTTCCCTCAAGGCGATGTTCTTCAAGTGTCTCCTGTCGTCATTTTGATTGACATGCTGAGAGGAGGGGGAGGAGGAGGAGGAGGGGGAGGAAGAGGAGAGGGGGAGGAAGAGGAGGAGGAGGATTAGGAGGATTAGGAGGAGGAGGAGGCGGCGAGGATGCGGTGGTGTTCCAGGCTCTCGTCTCTCGCTGCTGGGGGATGCCCTGCTGGTGAGTCCTGCTGTCGTCTTGTCTTGTCTAATGGGTTTTCTGAATGTTTTTATTTATCTTTTTTATTTATTTATTTATCTATACTTATTATTATTATTATTATTATTTTATTTTTTTTTTGGGGGGGGTTATATTGTATCTCTCTATTTGTTTTTTTTTCTTTAATCTTATTACCAGTTCTTTTGTTGGATTTCTGTTTTGCATTCTTTTCTATTCTTTTCCTTTTCTCTTTCTTTATTTCTTTGTTTCTGTCTCTGTCTCTCTCTCTATCTCTCTCTCTATCTATCTGTTTGTATATCTATTCATAAATCTTTATATCTCTCTCTATCTATTTATCTATCTACCTTTCTATCTATCTATTTCACATTTTCTATATTTCTCCCTCTGTTCCACCTCTCTCTATCTCTCATCTCTCCTCCCTCC